GACCCCAACTCTTTCATGTTTCTCTTTTGTTTTCCCTTCTTGTTTTAACTTTTGGCTGTGGGATCTTGTAACCACACAGTCTGGGAAAATTCCAGGGTATTTTCCTTCTAACGCCTTCGTTCCCTGGTTTTTTTTCAGCCTCTCCGCTACAGTGGGCATCACTCGCGCCTTTGATCTGCTGATATTGTTTCCAGGAACAAACTGTATTCCTGGAGTAGCCACTCTTTCAGTCACTCCCACTATCACTTCCCCAGTCTTGATTGGACTTTGTAGCTTTATCTCACACAGGGGAACACGAACCTGCTTTCCATTTATTCCACAGATTATCAACGTCTCAGGCAACATTTCATAAAGAGAGCAAATATTTTCATCTCTTACTATTAGAGACTGACTAGCTCCCATATCTCTCAATAATTTATCTTCTGTACCTATCGCCCCTGTTCTATGTGGGAAAATCTTACCCACACAGGTGAAGTTTTTGAAAAGAACAGGCACTATCTCAATATCCAGCCTGTGACTAGGACTTGCAGCTCCTTGACTTCTCTTGGGATTTCCTTCACTACCTCAACTAATCCCACTGGTTTAGCCTCTTTACCACATCCCCTTTCCCAGTGCCTCTCTTAATCCACCAGCACTGTGACTTTGTGTGTCCCACCTTATTGCAGTGAAAACACCTGAGGTCTTTCACCTCTTTTCCACTTTCTTGGGTTTCTTTTTTCACGTGATATTTCTCATTGAAGGATCTCTCTCTTTCCCAATTCCTATCCCTCATGGAATGAAACTGTGTCGGAAGCTAGATTTCGATTTGCGCACCAAAGCGTATTCATCCACTATCTCTGCAGCTCCTCTCGCTGTTTTAGCTTTCTGCTCCTCAACATGAGTTCTTATCACTTCTGGAAGTGAGTTTTTAAACTCCTCATATGTCTTTTCTATCTTTAATGCTCTCATTCATCTATCAAAGTTGCTGTGTTTAATACTTTCAAACTTGATATAAGTCTGACCTAGTTCCTTTCTTGCATTTCTGAACCATAGTCCATATGCTTCTGGTGCCAATTTGTAGGCACTCAAAATAGTCTGTTTTACTTCTTCATATTCTCTTCACACCTCCTCTGACAGCACTATAAACACCTCACTCGCCCTGCCTACCAACTTGGTCTGAATTAACATCACTTACATATCCTCTGGCCAATTCATTTGCCTAGCCAGTTTCTCAAAGGGAATGAAAAAGGCTTCTATATCTTTTTCATCAAATTTTGGTAACGCTTTGACATATTTGAATATATCCCTACCAGGTCTTTGGCTACATTGGGTTTGCAAATTATCACCCTCCTCCTCACTAAGCCTATCTTCTACCTTCATTTCCATTATTTTAAGTCAGCCATAGGACTGGCCCTATGTTTCAAAACCACCAGATTTAAATTTAATTGGTTTTAATTTGCAACTTCTGAAATTCAAACTCTCTCTTTTTCTCTTTCCTCTGGTTGAAAGCGTAATTCAAATTGTTTCAGTTCCCTTTCATTCTCTAACTCCAGTTTTCTTATTTGCAATTTTTTTTTTTCTAACTCCACTGCACTTGATGGTTTCTCTGGTACACCTATATGCCTGACTAACTCCGTTACAATTTCAGCTTTCTTATTATCCTTAGTTAAACCCAATTCTAGTCTGTCTGCTAATTCTAAAAGGTTCTCCTTTTTCTGTCTTTCTAAACTTTCTTGGCTAATTTGGGCAGCGTCTTTGACCCCCAGAACCTTTTTAGCAATGTTAAGAGCTACTTCCCCACTTTTGATTTAACCAACAACAAGCAACCAAAATTAAACGGATTTTCCACTTCTCACTTAAGTTTTATTTAAAGATCTAAGACATTAATCCCCAATTTTGTTTAAATCTGCTGGAACCTTTCGTACTCTAAATCTGTCCAGATCCATCCAAATCTATTCAGATCTGTCCACATCCGTTCAAATCCCAGACCCGCTCTGCCCAATCCATCCAAATCCCGGACCTGAACTGGCCAGATCCCCAACCCAAGCCCACAGTCTGTAATAAAGTGGAGGTTGACCGCCCTCATATGTCTTTTCTATCACTAAAATCGAAACACGCAGAGAGGCGCACCTTGCCCTGTAATCTGTTAAAACAGCCCCCAGCCTGTCATAAAGAAGTGGTTAAATAAAATAAACCCCTGACACTCACTTTAAAATACACAAGTAACAATTTATTTATCTAACTCTAACAGTGAGCAAATTAACTAAACTATTAACAAACCAAATAAATCCCTTCTAACTACTAACTATTCCCAAATAAAACAGGATTCTAATGGTATGCTATTCCAATAACTACAAGTCCCACTTACATAAACTAAAACAAAATAAATTAGAATTTAATCTCTCGAAATTTTAGCCAGGTTACATCTTCCAGAATGTTCTGTTTCTTCTCTGATGATTTCTTCTGTCAGGAATGCTACCTTGGAGAATCCTTCTGTCAGGAACGCCTTTTCCATTGAATTCTTTTGTCAGGAACATTAACTATTTGGGCCGTAGGTACCTGTAATTTAGATGGAGCTTACTCTAAGGCTCAGAGAATTCCGGGAGAGCCAGCGATTCTTTCTTTTAGAGCTGAGGGCTGTCTCTTGGCAGATGGCAGTTGGCTCTCTCCGATTTTCCAAATGCCCTCATCTTTTATACCCTTGATAATATACCAATTGCTTAGAATACTACTGGCCCTACGTTGTCAAAACCACCAGATTTAAATTTAATTGGTTTTTTAGTATCTAAGGACCTGGTTTAAATTGATTGGCTAAATTTAAAAACCTGTTAGCATGGTAAAAATGCTGCTAACAGTATGGTATTTTTATATAAATGTTTCAATTCAGGTGCTCTGTGCACCTGCAAACATACAGACATCCTTTGTGAATCTCTAAGCATCGGAAAAAGTACATAATCATTTAAAGGGACCATACACTGCCTTCTCCGTAGGATTTTACAAACACCAAATTCTAACATCCTGCCTTCCAATCCACAAGTACTGTATCCAACTTTGCAACAAAAGAGTAAATGAATTCTTCAAAGACCTACTCAGAAATTGAATCAGAATCAATATCTGAGTATTATTACATGGTAGAAAAATACAGTTGAAGAATTGGAGACCACCTCAAATACAAATCAAAAAAAGAATGGGTTGTGGTCCACCAGACAGTACTCCATCTGAGCATTGGACATAAGAACATTTTGATGGAATATTATGAGTGATTAATTACCTCTTTCATTCATTTATGGGATGTGGAAATTGCTAGCTGGGCCAGCATTTATTGCCCATCCCCTGAAGAAGGTGGAGGTGAGCTGCTTTCTTAAACTGCTGTGGTCCATGTGCTGTAGATCAACCCACAATGCCCTTGGGAGAGAATTATACGATTTTGACCCTGCGACAGTGAAGGAATGGCGATATATTTCCAAATCAGGATGGTGAGTGGCTCAGAGGGGAACTTGCAGTGGGTGGTGTTCCCATGTATCTACTGTACTTGTCCTTCTAGATGGAAGTGGTCATGGGTTTGGACGGTGCTGTCAAATGAGCCTTGGTAAATTTCCACAGTGCACCTTGTAGATAGCACACTCTGCTGCTACCGAGCATTGGTGGTGGAGGGAGTAAATGTTTGTAGATGTGGTCCCAATCAAGAGTCCTGCTTTATCCTGGATGGTGCCAAGCTTCATGAGTATTGCTGAAGCTGCACTCATCCAGGCAAGTGGAGATATTCCATCACACTCCTGACGTGTGCCTTGCAGATGATGGACAGGCTTTGCAGAGACAGGAGTTGAGTTACTCATTACAGGATTCCTAGTCTCTGGCCAGCTCTTCCAGCTGCTGTATTTATATAGTTGGTCTATTCCTTTTGGGTAAATGGTATCTCCTTGAATGTTGATAGCGGAGGATTCCGTGATGGTGACACCATTGAAGCCATTGGTGGCCCCAAAGGGGTGAAGGTTAGATTCTCTCTTGTTGGATGTGATCTTTAGCTGGCACATATATAGTGCAAATGTCACTCACCACTTGTCAGCTCAAACTTGCCGCATTTGGACATGGGCTGCTTCAGTATCTAAGGAGTCATGAATGGTGCTGAACATTGTGCAATCACGAGTGAACATCCCCACTTCTGACCTTATGATGGAAGGAAGGTCATTGATGAAGCAGCTGAAGATGGTAGGGCCTATGACATTATCCAATTACCCAAAGACAATGCTCCCAACCAAATGAAATAATTACACAGGATCATTGAATTATCTTTTTACTAAGACTAAAAGCAAAATACATTTAAAATTATTGCAACTTTTGTATTTCCACACAGTTGTAGTACAGGATTGCACACATTTTCAGCCACGACTTCTTTATCTGGATATAATTTCTTACATTCAGGATACCACAAGCACAATCAAAAATATCACAATAATGTCTTTTGCCACTGCATTGAATTTTTAGTTCCTGATTTTCAAAACGAAACAATTTTTGACCTTTAAAGGAGACATACTTACTATTTCTTGAAGTTATATTTGAAAGGGTTCAACTCCTGGAATGTTGGAACAAATTATTACAGATGCTGAAAGCTGTACTGAAAACAGAAAAATGCTGGAGATCACAGCGGGTCAGGCAGCATCCATGGAGAGAAAGCAAGCTAACGATGAAGAGTCGTCTAGACTCAAAACATTAGCTTGCTCCCTCTCCACAGATGCTGCCTGAGCCGCTGTGACTTCCAGCATTGTTAGTTTTCAACTCCTGGAGTGGATGGGAGTGTGGAAATAAAGTGCAGCAACGTTCAGAAGGGGTGCTAGGAAGAGATGGTTTGTATTGGATCTTTGTAAAGTCTGGCAGAACCCCCCATGAGATGCTTCTGCAGGCAACAACGCCATTTCAGAAATAAACGGTAAACCACAGTGATTTTAAGTTAGTGAGTGCAACATACAACAAAAGAATGCAAAACTCCACCTCTCCATCATAACAAGTCCAGTTTCCCTCACCTCCTTATAGATAGGTGCAAGGATATAGTTCAAGATGATGCATAAAACAGGCATTCTGGGTGCAACATTTTCAAATGGACAGACATGAGGACATCTTACATTATATTATGTTATAAATTAATTCAAGCTCTTATGAAAAATAAAACTATATATAAGCTCAAGAAGTGGAATTTACAATAAAATGGTGCAGCTTATACTGCCCCAGATTCTCCTACTCTGGAATAGTGTATTTTGAGTGGTGACAGTGGAGGGGTAGGGTTGTAGTATACTGTCTTCGCTTTCCCCCTCAACCCCTCTCTCAATCTAAAATCCCCAGTGTCCCAGTCTCTAGCATTATTTCAAAATGCAGGGTAGGTGTGTGGTGGGGGAGAGAAGTTACTTTCACTGGTTTTGAGGAAGCTGATGTCAGAGGTTGCACGTGACAGCAGGTCAGTACTGCAAGAGGTGCATGCAGCAACAGGAAGGTTCCAACTCCCAAATCTCAGCTAAATCTGACTTGGGCCAGTGTTGACACCTGGCGTGATGGCTGCAGGGAGCAAGCTCAGGTTTACCAGTGCAGGGTCTCGACAAATTTAGGATGGGTCTCAGATGGAACTTGGGAGGGCCTCATACAAAGGTATTTGGTTAGTTGAAGCATTAATTTTATCAAGGAAATGACTAAACGTGTCTCCCTTCACCTTTTCCATCCATTTTGTGAGCTCCGTTTTGGCATGGAGTTTGGTTGCTATTCTTGCTATTTATAAGAAGTTCTTCAATAAATATTCATGCAAGAACTACACAGACTAATCATCGAACAGCCCGAAACCCATGTCTTCATCAGACTCTTCGGATTCCTCCTTAACCTCAGCTTTCTTCTCTTCAGCTGTGAAGATGAAATACAGATTATATTTGACAGCAATATCCAGGTTTCTGTGCCGAAGACAGAAAGAATGGAGTACAGCTGGTGTATCCACTCTGCCTCACACTCGCTGGAACTTTGTGACAAAGTCTCTCCTGCTACCTGCTTCCCACCAACAATCTCATCCCTTTGGAAAGGCAAAAAAGGTCAGAGTCAATAAGGGGGACAATTCCTCAGTGACCCTCTCAGGCCTTTCAGGAGCAGTCCAGGAGGCGAAAGAGACCACGTGTTACATGTTAACATTTGTTTTCGGATTGAGATGAGGCCAACAGTCATCCGTCAGATGATCATGAGTCTTTGGAATTCTTTCCCCCAGGGAGCTCCGGATGCTGAATTGTTAAATATATTCAAGATTGATTGACAGATTTGTTCTGGACACTACGGAGATTAGGGAGATGGGGATTGTGCAGGAATATTGAATGGCAGCGCACGAACTACTGAATGGGCTTCTCCAGCTCCTAATTCAAATGTTCTGATGGATACTTTTACCAATTGTGTGACACAGTATCTGCCTCTGTCAGGAATTAGTTTAGCTCGCCCCTCCAGAATTGAGAAACACCACCCACCAGTATGTGCATTGCAAACCTCTCCCTTGATCACTGGTAACAGCACTTGATGAGATTACCTTGTGAATGAGCATGGCAAGAGAGAGATCTTGATCTTGACTGAAAGGTAACCGATTGCAGTGTGTCAACATTACAAATGGGGCTGACACTGGCACACACTGTAGGAGGACAGACTGTCACTCTAAGAAGCCAAGGTGACCAGAAAATGGCAGCTCTGGGTCTAACAGGTGATTATTCATAGAAACAAAGAAAAATTAGGAGCAGGAGTAGGCCATTCAGCCCTTTGAGCTCTCTCCACTATTCAATAATGATCATGTTTGATCATTCAACTCAGTCCCCTGTTCCTGCTTTCTCCCCATAGGCTTTGATCCCGTCAGCCCCAGGAACTATACCTAACTCCTTCTTGAAAACATTGAACGCTTTGGCCTCAACTGCTTTCTGTGGCAGAGAATTCCACAGTCTCCCCACTCTCTGGTGAAGACATTTATCATCACCGCAGTCCTAAACGGCCTACCCTGTATCCTTAGATGGTGACCCCTGGTTCTGATTCCCCCCATCATCAGAAACACCCTTCCTGCATTTACTCTGTCTGGTCCAGTTAGAAATTTATAGGTTTCATGGGAGTGGAACCACTGGGTGAGGCACTACAATCCTTCCTGGCCTCTTGAAAATTGATGACTTCCTTAATTAGATTCCCATCTGTAGCTGGATGGAACCTGCCTGTTATACAACACTCCATGTTTCTGATTTGATATCACTGGGCTCATTTACAGATTATAAAGGGTTTCTGCCTGAGGCAGCTGGGTATTTTTAGCCTGTGATACTGGATAAGTGGGCAGTCAATGAGTGGGACAAAAACAAAGTTGCTGGAAAAGCTCAGCAGGGTATGGCAGCACCTGTGAAGAAAAAATCAGTTATCGTTTCGGGTCTGGTGACCCTTCCTCAGAACTGATGGCAGCTGAACGGTCACCGGACCTGAAACATTAACTCTGTTTTCTCCTTCACAGAAGCTGCCAGATCCGCTGAGCTTTTCCAGCAACTTTGTTTTTGTTCCTGATTTAAAGCATCCGCAGTTCTTTTAGTTTTTACTCAATGAGCGGTAACTGGAAAGAAGGAACTTGTATTTTTATAGTGCCTACCAGAATGCCACAAAGTTCTTTACAGGCAATGAAATACTTTGCAACTATCATCAATGCCTGAATGTCAGGGAACATGGAAGCTAATTTGTACACAGGAAGCTCCCAGCAGTGTGCCAGGTAATCTGTTTCAGTGATGTTGATTTGGAGATGAATGCTGGTCAGAGAAGAACTTTGCTACTGTTCTTTGAAATCCAGCTGAGGAGGCAGATGGGGCTTTGATTTACTAACTCATGTGAAAGATGGTATTGCCAGCAGCTCCCTCAATAGTGCCTGTCTGTCAGTGCAAGGCCGTCCAAAACCGTAGCTCCAACAACAGCGCTGCTTTGATCCTGTAACACTGCTGCCCTAGTACTGCATTCAGGGTGTCAGAAAGAATTTTGTGGGCTCCTCTCTGTGGTGGGATTTGAACTCAGGCCCTTCTCCTGACAGAGAGTGCTCCCCATCAAATTGCTGCTGACACCCAATGTTCACATTCGCAAACAGAAAGGGTTCGTAAAAGATTTACTGGGATGTTGTTGGGAATGGACGGCTTAAGTTATAAAGAGAGACTGGATAGGCTGGGACTTTTTCCACTGGAGCGTAAGAGGTTGAGAGGTGACTTTATAGAGGTTTATAAAATCATGAGGGGCATAGATAAGGTGAATTGGCTGGTGTCTTTTCCTGACGTTGGGGGGATTTCAAGACGAGGGGGCACATTTTTAAAGGTGAGAAGATTTCGATTTTAAAAAGACATGAGGGGCAATTTTTTTTAATACAGAGCTCACGCGTGGGATGAACTTCCAGAGGAAGCGATGGATGCAGGTAGAGTTACAATGTTTAAAAGACATCTGGAGAAGTTCATGAATAAGAAATGTTTGGAGGGAAATGGGTCAGGTGGAGGCAGGTGAGACTAGATAAGTTTGGGATTATGGTCTGCATGGACTGGTCAGATCGAAGGGTCCGTTTCTGTGCTGTATGACTCGATGACTGTGACTCTATAGCAAAAACGCTTCCATGAATTACATTCCTAATTTCACTCCTTTGTGTGTCTCCAGCAAGGTCAGCATTTGTTGGCCATCCCTAATTACCCTCCACTTACCATCAGTAACTGCAGCAGTGCCCCCAGAAGCTGCTGTCCCACCGGATGTGGAAGCACCCATAGGTAAAGGGCCTCCAGCCCCAATGTTACAGATCAGGTTCCCAATGTTCACGTTGCTCAGGGCCTGTGGGTAACATGGAAGTGCACAACTCAATTAATGCAATTCTGACCAGGCAGGATCCCACCGTGGATCAGGCAGACTGCATAAGCTCAGATTCCTCTGCTTCATTGCTCCCTCACACCCACAGCAAGTCCATTTGGGAGTCTATGATGAGTTACATGCTCCAGGAACTTCCCAATTTTACACACAATCTACTGCACAGAAACAGGCCATTCATCCCAACTGGTCCATGTTACTGTCTGATTTCCTTCTAAGCCTCCTCCCACTGTGGGTCATTTCACTTCATCAGACTAGCCCTCCAACCCCTCAGCTCCTAGCCTCATTAGAGCCTTGATTCAAACACGAACAAAAGAACTCAATTCCAGAGGTGAGGTGAGGTGAGAGTGACAGCCCTTGAGTTAATTGGCCTCAGTTGACAAGTGTGTCATCAAGGAGCCCCAGCAAAATTAGAGTCAATGAGAATCAGGGGAACCTCTCTTTGCTGGCTGGAGTCATACCTGGCATCAGGAAAATGGTTGTGATTGTTGGAGATCAGTCATCACAGCTCTGCAGGAGTTCCGCAGGGTGGTGTCCTGGCCTCAAAATCATCAGCTGCTTCAAAGACCTACCCTCCATCATAAGGTTAGAGGCTGGGGATGTTCACCAATGATTGCACAATGTTCAGCACCATTCGCTACTCCTCAGATACTGAAGCAGTCCTGTGCTCAAAAGCAGCTTGACCAGGGCAGTATCCAGGTTTGATAGGCATGTGGCAAGCAACGTTTGCAAATAACCACACAAGAGCCAGGCAATGGTTATCTCCAACAAGAGAGAACCTAACCATCACCCTTTGACATTCAATGGCATTAACATCACTTAATCCATCACTATCTGTATTCTGGGGGTTACCATTGACTAGAAACTGAACTAGACCAGATAGTACTGTGGCTACACCAGCAGATCAGAAGGAATCCGAGTGTGCAACTCCCATCCTGACTCCCCAAAGCCTGTCCACCACATACAGGGGAAAAGGTCAGGAATGTGATAGAATACTCCCCACTTCTGGACCGTATTCACTGTTACTACGGAGTGTTAGTTGTGAAGGGAGTAAGTCTTGAAGGTTGTGGTTGGGTGCAGGCCGCTTTGTCTTGGATGAACTTCTTCATGTTGTTGCATCCAGGCAAGTGGGGAGTATTCCATCACACTCCTGACTTGTGCCTTGTAGCTGGTGACAGACTTTGGGGAGTCAGGAGGGGAGTTCCTCGCCCCAGAATCCCCAGCCTCTGCAATGATGGTGTAGCCACTGTGCTTACAGGGATGGTCCAGTTCATTTGCTGGTCTAGGACATTGCTAGAGAGGATTCAGCGATGGGAATGCTGCTGACTGCCAAGGAACAGTGTTCTTGTCTCCATGTCCTCAACAATCAAGTTCAGCTTCCAACCTTTGTACTACCTCTTTAACATCACACTGTAATCAGTACAGACATAAAACTTTGTGTGCAGTCTGTCAAGTCTCAATCTTGATTTTACTTTCAATTTCCAGCACTGAGATCTTCTTTTTTTATACAAACATACCCTTAGATTTTTTTTTTTTTTAAAAAACACAAAAGAAATATTTTTTACATGTAAATTCTTTGATCATTGATGAACATCCCAAACCACTCCCCCGTCAGATTTCTTACCTTTTACCTCCTATGATTTTGAGTTGATTTGATTGATCCCTGACCCCTTGAGGAAGTGGAGACTCCCACTTAAGTTAAGTTTTTTTAATAGTGCAAATTTCTACTGATTGATAAAAAAAATTAGTGAATTATCCAGCACAATACCTTTGCAAACAGGCTTGGCCAGAATGGTTCCACTGTAACACCTGCCGCTTTTATCAAAGCATTGAGCTTGTCCTCCTGTTAAAAGAACAAGAAAAACTGCTGAAAACAAAACTACAAAGATGTCCGAAGCAGAATACCTGAGTTAGCCAGAGCCTTGGAACCTGAACAGTCTCAGTTCTTCTGTGGCCATCTCCAATAACATCACCAGGTTCCATCCCCACCCTCAACTTCTATGGTGCTGAATTCCTCGTCCATATTGTTTTATCTCTAGACTCAGCTATTTCCTACCCACTCCTGGCTAGCTCCATTTTACACTTTGTCTGGATGGTGCAATTCCTAAATGATCCGATTCTCATTCCATGACTAAGCCTCTTGATCTGGGTTCGCTCATCAGAGAAAATTGGTTCCATCCAGCCTGTAAGATTTATCAGCTATTTTAAACACCTTAATGAGATCAGTTAGCTCAGTTGGCTAGTTTGCAATTCAACAGCGATGGTTCAATTCCCATACCAGCTAAGGTTACCACAAAGGACTCTCCTTCTCGGTCTCTCGCCTCACCTGAGGTGTGGTGACCCTCAGGTTAAACCACCATCAGTTGTCCCTCCTTCTAATGAGCGAACAGACCAATGGTAGGACAATGATGAATTTATCTTTTTAATGAGATCATCTTCAACTAACCCCCGCACCCCACGCTCACCACCACCACCACCACAACCACCACCACCAAGTATCTCAGCAGAAAGGAGAGACTTTCACTCTTAGAATACAGATGATACCGGCAACTGTGTATTTAATACAGATCACCATTCACCCCTGAGACGTTGGTGAGTGGGTTGTACAACTGCGACAGTATGCAAATGAGGGAGTTCCAAAAGAATGACCCAGCCACAATGAAGTAATAGCAATATGTATTCAACTGAGCACAGTGAGATTTCATAGAATCCCTACAGTGTGGAAGCAGGCCATTTGGCCCATTGGGTCTACACTGACCCTCAGAAGAGGATCACACCCAGACCCACTTTCCCTCCCCACCCTTGCATTTCCCATGGCTAATCCACCTAACCTACACATCCCTGGACACTATGAGCAATTTCCCATGGCTAATCCACCTAACCTGCACATCGTTTGGACTGTGGAAGGAAATCCACGCAGACACAGGGAGAATGTGCAAACGCCACATAGACAGTCGCCTGAGGCCCTGGCACAGTGAGGCAGCAGTGCTAACCACTGAGCCACTGTGCCTTGGAGAGGAATTTGCAGCATGGTGGTATTCTCATACACCTACTGCTCTTGTCTTTCTGGGTGGTAAAGGTCACAGCTTTGGAAGTAACTTTGGTGAATGGCTGTACTGCATCTTGTAAATGGTACACACAGCTACCAGCGGTGGTGGAGGGAGCGAAAGTCTTAGCAGGGAACGTGATGCTGATGTGCTGCTATGTTCTGGATGGTGTCAGGCCTAAGCCTGGATGTTGTTGAGGTGTTGCTGCATGTGGTCATGGATTGGTTACTTATTCAAGGAATGGTAAATGGAGTTGAACTCCATGCAGTCAACAAACATCCCAAATAATCTAATAATGGAGTGAAGATCAGCAATGAAGCAGCTGCAGACAAATGGGCCTCCTTTTTTGTTCTTTGAAGACAGGAAAGCCATAGTTATTATTGGAAGTATTTGTTAGGGTTCTGTTGATCCATAAGCAATGGTCAAAGCTGATCTGCTCCAAGTAGGTCAGGATAATGCAAATGATTGAGTTTTGGATGTGTTGCTGGCTTGGGATTTTGTTGGAATAAACATTTACACTTATGGACTATGTGAAAAGCTGGAAGGTGTAGATCTGTTGAGACGCTTCCTTGATTGAAAAGGGAAATCTATCTGCTTTTTGGGTCAGCCAAGTGTTTAGCACCTCTTTGAGCTTCCATCGGACAGTACAGCTTCAGTCAGTGTTAAGATTGGGTAATGATGGCCTGTCATTCTAATAAAGCTGGTAGAGGCTTCTCCTGCAGCAGTTTTTGCACTGACCCATTGCTTTTATCTATCCAATCTTGGTGCAGATGAGAAGAGGAAGGAAAGGGTTACGTGGGGATACATTAGCCCCAGTGACTCACAGTTATCCTCAATGTATACAGCACCATTTTCAAGGCACACAGGTGACACTCCAGTTTCTCGGATACAATTCAGACCACATACATTGAAACGGGAAACGACTTACTGAAGTGAAAGTAGACCGAGATCTCAATGCTTGCAAGATTGAGTACATTCTGAACAAGTTCTCATACCGAGCTGTTATCTTGCAGGAGAAGCATAACAAAAATTAAGTGCTATATAGTGTCCTGATCACTCCATTCAGTACAGATATACCAAGAGTGTGACACTCCCTCAGCACTGACCCTCTGACAATGCAGCATTCCCTCAGCACTGACCCTCCGACAGTGCCCGCTCCCTCAGCACTGACTGTCCGACAGTGCGGCGCTCCCTCAGCACTGACCTCCCAACAGTGCGGCGCGCTCCCTCAGCACTGACTGTCCGACAGTGCGGCGCTCCCTCAGCACTGACCTCCCAACAGTGCGGCGCGCTCCCTCAGCACTGACCTCCCAACAGTGCGGCCTTCTTTAAATATATGATTTGTGTACATGTGGCAGCTGATGTGTTATTGCACTCACATCCTTTCTACTATCTTTCATGAGACTCTGCAATTTATTCTTGAAGTTACTTGTTTGAATTTTAAATAGAAGTTGAAATTATGCAGCTCCTTTGACATTGCTAAGTGTCCCAAGGAACAAATGCACCAAAAGCTGGGATCTTGCTTTGTATATACTGCCTCTTGTGTTTGGCAAAGCCATGACAGTGGCTGTTCCAAGCATTGTACTGGCTACCCCTCCATCCTGATAGCCCAAGCATATTCAAAGGCTATCTAAAATTCAAACCTGCATTTCATTTGAAGGAGTCTCTCGCTTTTATTCCTCGACAATCCTTCAAGTGAACTTGGCAGGGCTGAGGGAACAGTGGGATCAGGTGACCACACCAGAAGGTGCAAGAGATTGAGGGCAGAGTCAGCGGGAAACAAGAGAAAGACAGAGTGTTTCAGAAAATAGAGGGCAACAGCCTGAGAAGGTCATTGTGAGTGACAGCGAGAGAAAGTACCCAGCATTTCAGTGACCAGTTACTGTCCTATTACTCAGGGCATGTCTGTGTATGGGTGATGAGTAATGTGCAACATCAGACTTGAGTTCAGTCACCGAGTTGTGAGTTTCTGCTGACTCTGTGTATTTGACATGCACACCGTGAGCAATCATTTGTTGGAGCAGTGGCACTCTGCTTGAGCAGAAGTCAGCACTTTCAGAAGAAAACAGATTCCAGTAACCCTTGTTCCTCTGCAGCAAATCTAATCTGAACAAAATAAAAACTGCAATCCTGATAATCCTTCAGCTTACATCAAATGTGAGAAAAATCAGACAGAAAAATAACTGTCAGAGGTTGGAAAACAAATTGCAGAGACAGCCACATTCTGCTGTATTTTATATTGCCAAAACAGTGCCTTCAGAGTTCCTAGACTAG